GCCAGGATTTCTTTGAGAAGCACCACCCCAAGAGAACTGTGACATGATGAATGACAACGTGGTCTCTCATTTCCGGAGGACACAATCTCCTCCACTACCTCTGCATCAGACCCTTCAAAGTCATGTTCAGCGACATGTTCTGGCCACAGTTTCCTCCAGGCTGAGTTTAAGGTCCGGCAGGTGACATCTTCCCAGGCTTTGTCAATGAGGCTGATGCAGTGGAGGACATTGAAATGTTTCTTCCAGAATTCTCATTTCAGAACGGATTAACCGTATTTACATTGAACCTTATGGGAAAATTTGCTTCGGGTTGCGACCAAAATCGGTTAGCGACCAAATTCGGAGGGGTCAGAATGGATTAACCGTATTTACATTGAACCTTATGGGAAAATTTGCTTCGGGTTGCGACCAAAATCGGTTAGCGACCAAATTCGGAGGGGTCAGAATGGATTAACCGTATTTACATTGAACCTTATGGGAAAATTTGCTTCAGGTTGTGACCAATTTGGGCTGCGACCAGAGTCACGGAACGAATTAAGTTCGTAACCCGAGGTACCGCTGTATTATCTTCAGCCTGAATAGTAAGACAACTCTGAAACAGCTGAATTCAGGTCAGAGCTTACTACTGAATTAAAAATAGCTAGACCTGGAACTTGACCAACCTTTGCCACTGAAGGATATAGTGAGCAATTCATTTTATTTGAATTTTGGTCTGATTTCCCCCCCCAGAAAACTCACAATGTGGATTAAAATATATTTTAAAGTTCTGTAAATGACCAAAGCATAAACAACCACAATAGAGCACTGGCACAGCATGTGAAATCTGAGAATATTTCGCTGCACTTAAAGGAAATGCAATAGTTTAAATAACATAATTTCAGCTCTTCAACTATCTGTGTGAGGGTCACCGAATTAATCATTCTCAGGGCTTCATTCATTCAATTTATGTTGACTTTACTGTCCTTTTTTTTTTTAGCAATATTTCTATGTGTTGCAATTATTATATTTATTTTCAGACTTTTCAAACTCTCCTCTTAATCTGCATTTCAGACAGATCTACAACACTGAAAGAAATTGTGAAGTGTTCTTTACACTGAGTTCTTCCCATATGTTATATAAAGTCATGGATACACTAAAGGAGTTGGTATTAAAGCCAACTTGCTATTATTGACTGTTGACATCATTCACCAGCTTTCCCACCATATTGTGGTAGCAATAAAACAAAATAAAAATATATTATCAGTCTAATTTTTAGCATATTGTAGCATAACCTGTTGTGCATTAAAACATACTATAATTCTTCAGATATAAAAGTAGAATAAGAAACCTGAGTATCTTAGAGGCCATCTTTCCCTGGTAGTTTCTACTTTCCCTGTCCAAACAGCTAGGGCTCCCCACCTACCAGATGCAGTAGGAGGGGCCTAATGGCCAGCAATCTCTGTAACAGTCCCCCTCCTTTGGAATAGCTAATCCCCTGAAGCGAGGATAGACCCCACCCTCATGGCCTTCTGGAAGCCAATGAAAATGGGATTAATTGTATCCAGTGGCATCATCCCAAACAAAGGATTTAGCTCATTCATTTTAGTACCTAATTTGGGAGAGTAGATTTTGGATTTTACTATTTTAATTAATTATTTGATTTTCTGCTGTGTTTTATTTTGTAAGTACTATAAGCTGCCTAGGTTTCAGACAGTGGACAGATCTCATTAATAAATAATAGCAAATAATCAACAGCAAGCAGTGCAAACACTTTAAGAATGGTTTTCAAGATTCTAAATTTTAAAGGAACCTCAGTCTTTATGAAAAAAGGGGTGGGGGGAATGGTTTTATGGGGATTAGGCTTATCATCCAAACTGAGAACAAGAGAGTTCAACTTTTGTTGAATTAAAGCAATTCACTGTTTTATAATTAGAGAATACCTCATAATTCCTTTTCGCAGCCTAATATCCATGTCAAATGTTTGTATGAATTTCTGTCCTGCCACATGCTCTATGTATTCACTGCGACTGTTTTTTTTTTCAGAATGCCCATTCCAAGATCTATTATGTCCAAAATAGCCGAAATACTCACAGATTTGGTATTCATAACAGAGTTGTGTTTATTAAGACCTTTCTATAAAGAAATAAACCTGTGTTGCCAGTACAGACATCAGATGAGTATTTTAGATGAATGTGTGAAAACAGTGTGTGAACACTGATCATGCGAATTGGATGTATGAATGGCAAACAGATAAGAGAGAGTTATAAATAAAAATATATATGTCTGTGATTTTCTTTGTAAGGGGACCTCAACTTGTGTACTATGTACATAACAATTAAGTTAATCTGAAGTTCTTAGAAGGATATACTTATAAGGAAAAGATGTGGGACAATTTTGTCATTGTTTTCTTTACTTTCACGCATAGGAGGGTGACATCAGTATCAGAGAGCCACCTAGAGCCTATATGTAGGCCCTAATTGTACAGAAATTCTACCAGTAAAATTGACAAGTGACAAGAGTGTCAGAGGAGGTAGAGACCCACTCCTCTCTTTGTATGTACAACTGGTGAGAACATCTGAAAAGGACTATAATTCCACCTACCCCTGCTACATCTTTCAAACAAGACCAAAAATATGGTGTGTTTATGCATATTCAGGTATATACTTAACTTTTTTATCTTGATGGTGGTTAAACAGCAAAGCATTTGTACTAATTCCTACAATAGGACCAAAATCTAATCTTCATATGTGCTGTCCCCACACTTCCCAACAATATTAGAGACTCTTTATGTTAGCAATCTCAAAAGAAAACAAACAAACAAGATTTGATATTAATGTAATCTTAATTTTTTATGTCACAGAGATTTTTAGTGATAAAAAATGAGAAAGAACTTTAACTCTTTGTCCCAATTTAAAAGTCTTATCTGGGTACTACACAGGATATTGAACTTCACTGAAGGATTTAAACATATTAGGCAATTTTCTTGATTCTCAGCACCTGGTAAAACATTATTAATTATATATGGAAATCTGGTCCCAACAGTTTTTGAATTATTTATTATAAAGATTTGGTTTAGAGACACAAAGTATGAACACAATTAAGACATATAAAGAACAGTACCTTTGTGATAGGAAGATCTTTGGATTTAGTCTCGAAGAGGTGTTCTAGTTTGGCAGTGTCCACTTTAATAGGCTCCAGTTTTGACCACAGGAATCCTTTGCAGTGTCTGTTGTTCTTGCACTGCCATTCAAATGGCCTCACCTCATTCCAAAAGAGGCGAATGGTTTTCTTCTTTTTTATAAAGGTTGGTTGATCTCTAGGAAGTGGGGATGACCCTAAACCTTGAGGAGTGCTTGATAGAGGGGGAACCAATAAATTAGCAGAAGGTGGGGGTGGGAGAGGACACCCATAAAGTAATGGAGGAGGTGGAGGAGGAAAACCTAAAAAGGAAGGTACGGGTGGGGGAGGGGGAACTAAGGCATCACTAGGACTAATTTCCATGTCCAATATGTCAATATCATCCTCATCTCCTAAATCTGTAAAATCCATATCTTTGATTTTCAGTTTTCTTGGACTAGCCAAGAGTTGATCCCAAATATAGTCAGATTCTGTCTTAACCTGCACTGGAGTTTTTTCAGAAGTTTTTTCATTAAAATCACTTTCAGGCAAATTAGAAATTTTGGCCACCTCACCATTGTTGAATCTTTCTGCAAAGATCTTCACACTGCCCTGATTTTCCAAACTTCCGATCTCCATTTTTTTTACACATTCATCTTTGGCCTGCTTGGTAGTTTGTAGGACTGAAATCCTACTGGCCAGGCTGTTAACAGTATCTTCACTTGTATCCAACACCTTCTTTATATCTGCCTCCAGTTCTTTAACCCTTTCATCCTTGGGAGAAGGCAAGTTATGAGCATACAACATATCCAGCATGAACCGTTTATTGTTGAGGATGCTGTTGTATTGGTCGTTCACATCATCATCTTGTATGGGCTGTAACCACGGGCCTGAAATCACACATGTGAAACATTGAATAGTAAGGAATAACATTTGCTGAGAATCTATAACAAGCAGTATTGTTTGCAAACTGGAATAAATTTGATAGTCAGAAATGACATAACAGAATTGTAGACCCTATATACTACTGGGGGATGGGGGTATGTAAAGGGGTTTTCAAAGTATTTTGGGTGAAAGTTTCTTTATAGAATGAGTCAGATAACATGATGTACCTGACATCACTTTTATTATTTCTAATAACAGTGCTCATGATTTTTATTGGATGCTTTAATTGGATAGTCAGCACAACAGTCTAACATTAGTTATTCTAACTTCCCAAATGATGCTGAACTTTTCTTAGCAAAGCATCAATTCTATAGGATGCTGCCTTATATACAATGTGTGCAGTGATTTACAATAGCTTTTCGGGATTTTAGGCAGGGATTTTTTCCAGCTCCACCTAAAGGAGCAGACCATTTATGCTGAAAGCATGGGCTCTACTGAGTGAGGTGCTTTCCCATTAGGTGGAATTCTACCTGATAATCAGGTTCATAGAAAAATTCCCTTTTCTCCCTCAGAATATTTTATATGTTTTGTTGTATATAATAGGAAGAATAATTCTTCTATACATTTTTGCCAGCTATCAGGCATTAATAACCCATTTTCAGAAAAGAAAATAGTACTGAAATACTTCAAAGAACTTTTTATTATATTACTTAGGGTCCCTTGTTAACATTTACATTTAAGTTCATGTTAGAAATTTATTGTAAATCTAAGAATAGTAAGAGATAAAATAAAAACAAAAACTAGAAAATCTGGTGATAACACTAGCAGTTTCATGCCATATTTAATAAATTACAAGGAAACATTCAGAGCTCTAAGCAGTTGAGTCAAATTTTTGGTTGGTTTGTTTAATCACCCAGGCAACCATAATTTGTTAGAACAAAACTCTTGTATTGTGGGTGGAAAGGATACCATCTATTTACATTCTAACATTAAAATCAGACACAATAGGCCTCTGCATTTGTTCACCACATTCAGAAAAATCTTAGTAAAGATGATGAGAATAGTTATGCTTAGGACACAAAGAGAAATAATATATACATAATAAAAAGAATGAATCAGTCTTTATGGAGCTGCCCTTTTATAATTTAATTAAAAACTGAGAAAAAATCTTTAAGTGTGATCTTGCTCATATAATAGGTATTGTGTTCCAAATTCATCAGTGCAGATGGAATTCTATTCTCAGATACCATTCAAATGTCCATATCACATAAAAATACATTTAAAAATAATTTAAAAATGGCTGTAACTTGTTTTTCTATGAACCTCATCCATTTTTTAAATTAAAGCATGAAACGTTCTCACTCTTTTTTAATAAGCTGCTCTCCTTTATTTTTAAGCATCTTTCTTTTGAACTAGGAAGCTTATATCATTAATTTTCCTATTTAATTATCTAATTAATTGATAATTTAAAATTTAAAAAACATTATGTGAAGAAAGGGGAAATAGCTCTGATCACAAGGCCACTGAAGCCCTTATTGTTATTATTAGAAATTGCACAGCTCTTCCATTAATGAAGAGCAAATTCTCTTTGGCTTCACTCAGAAGTAGCTTGGTAATTACTCACGAGAAGGTAGAAAAAAACTAGCCAGCTTGCAAAGAGTTATTTTATTGCTTGTGATTTTTGCTTTATTTTATTGTAAAAAAAAAAAAAAGCCCTCTTACGTTTTAAATGAGTTTTCAACTAAATCTCAGCATTTTGTTTTCAATATCCTGAACAGTAAGAATAACTCAAACACAGCCCCGAGATGCTGACAGGGACTTGAGGAGTAAGGAGTTATCAGCACAAAGCACAGCTCAGGGAAATCCAAGTTTAAGCCAAATCTCTGCAACAAATCCGTTGAAGCTCATCCAAGCTCTCTTTACGCCGGTGTTGTCCAAACTTGGCCACTTTAAGATGAGTGGACTTCAACTCCCAGAATTCCCCAGCCAGCATGGCTGGCTGGGGAATTCTGAGAGTTGAAGTCCACTCATCTTAAAGTGGCCAAGTTTGGACAAAACTGCTTTACGCTCTCTACATATGTCATTGCAAGGCAGCAGCCGCTGAGAACTGGCGACACAAAGCTTGCTTGAGGATTTCCGGCTTAATCGAATATGCCTCCCAAACTGCACAGCACTGGTGCACGATGCCCAAATAATACGCAGCAGGGCCCCAAAGCTTCCTAATCATTGGACAGCCTACAGTGCGTCTAGGTGCATGCAAAACTTTGGAACCCCTGGGGAAGCTCAGTGATGCCCTATTTTCTTTCAACATGGTGGATTTAGAATAGACCTGTTGAAAGCAGTCATTAGGGCAAAATGGATATTTTATCCATTTATATCCTAATATACTAAGGATATTACTGTGAATAAATGTTGCATACAACAATAGATGATCAAACTATTATTAGAGAGCCTCCCACACAGGTTTTTTAGAACAAAGAAATGTGACAATGTATTATATAAGATGTGTGCTTTCACACATAAAGGTATGCGTATGAGCAGAAATATGCCTGTACAAAGTGAAACATGGTTAAACATTTGCTTATGCCATGCATCGAAGAAAAGAATAAATCAGAGTTTACTTTCATATTAACATATTTCTGGACTGGCATTATGTGCAGACCATAAATTAGTAAAGTAATAAATTAAAAAAGTGAGTTGAGCCTGACTTCTTGTAACTTATATGGATAGATCCATGTAGTTTTCTTGAAATGATTTTACAGTAGCTTGTCGCTGTGCTCTGCTGGGAAATGTTTTGGCTTCCCAGTCTAGCTGACAGCCCTGGGTTTTCAAAATAGTTCTCCAATTACAAACCAACTTCCAATTTTGGATGGCAGAATTGAAATGTAAAGTAAATTCTATTTCTGGTCCACATTTAATGAAAACATGGGCAACCAAAACAGAGGTAAGTTTTCCTTCCTTTTGGTCACAAGGGAGGAGAAGCTCAGTGAGGGCATGAATCCAGCTCTTCATGCAGAAATAGTTCTGCTGATCCTAAACTATGGTTTAGATGGAAACGTGGCCCATGCTTGGTTATCAGGAAGGATGTTCAATAGCAAGCAGCAAGTTGCTGAGTATAAGAATATAATGGCATAGACACATTCAAAATGTAGCCAGTTTCTTTGTCTTTCAATCAGGAATCATATACAGTTAAGATGATTTTTTTCATGGAGCAGTGTGTATGTGAAAAAAAAAATACTACCCTTGAAAAGTGGACATCACCTTATTTGGCTAATTCTTACACACATGCAGCGAGGTGAAAATAACTGAAATATTTTACAGATTCCTATATTTCATTAAATACATGTTATTTAAGTTGCTGATTTTTTTGAATATATCCTGAAATCCTCCAATGACCAAAATCATCTGTTACAGGGGTGAAAAAAATCAAAATGTGATCAAAGCCCTCCTCCTATGATTTGTGAGCTTACAGGAAAATTTAAAAGTGAGGAAACAGGCTCAAATTTTTGTTTTTGTTTTTACCCCAAATATAAAAATGACAAAACTACACATGATTACAGGAAAAAGGCTTCAATTTACCCGCTTCATTTTTATTGCTTAGTTTTTGCTCCCGCTCCTCCCTCTCTAAAGTGCTGCTTGCTGAAGAGAGCCCGGATGCAGAGCAGTTGTCTTTCTCATTCACATCTTCATTTTGCCTCTCTTTTTCACTTATTGCACCTTCTTCTCTCTCTTGCTCTGGACCCAGCTCCACCTCTGCAACCTTTACTTCCTGGGATGTTTCTGTTCCCTGCTTGAACTTGGCCTCCTCTTCCTGTTCTGTTTTTGTTTCTCCCTCTGCCTCAGGTTCTGGTTCACATTCAGGTTGACTGGCACTCACTGGTGAAAAGAATAATGGAGAAGAATTCCCTTAATAGCAATCAAGTGAATTCCATCCGCTTTCACTTCCCCAAGGGAGTAAAAAGAAAGACGTCTTGCTAAGAAACAGCTGTGTGTGGGATTCAGAGCACAACATTTAAAGCTAGCGCTTTCTGTTCATGAAGAATAATTTGGAACCCTGCCATTCCTTACTTGAATAAAATCTAGCCATATACCAAAGTTTATATTTATACGTATTTCACCGCAACAGTATAGTACCTAATTAGTACATTGGTAAGGAATAGTTGAAAATACTTATGCCAGTATGTCCAGTTGGAAAAGCAAAAAGGGGTAATAAAAAAGGACAAATTGACTTTGGACTGATATTCGCTCTGTTATTGAAAACATTATTGTAGTGATTGATTCTTCATCTGACATACACAACTTACTAATAAACACATGTGTGCTAATTTTATTACTGTGACAGAAAGCATAGCTTGGAAAAGGAAATGTCATGTACATAGCTGATAGGAAACATATGTCTTCTAATGCCTATTTATTTCAGTATAGCCACATAAATCACTTTTTGGCTCTTGGCATATGTTGTCTCTTAAGTGATTGGCATCAGGCACATACTGTTGATGGTGCAATTTCCTCCTCCATATTTTATCACTGACACAATGAAAGCCAACCATTTGCTATCATTATCATTCAGCTGACGTTTCCCATGCAATAATATTATGCTATGCTCTAAAAACCCTAAAAGGCACTCACAGATATTAAGTCAAGCAACTCACAACTATTGGAATGTAGAGATAACCCTGCAGAAGTGATAGATATGGAAATGTGTATATTAATAATGTGTAATTCAGACATCAGCTCTTAGCTAAATTATTCAACTCTTTTGGCTTTCTCTCTGAGATCTTCCTGATCTCACTTCTAATCTGTGCAATTAATGCAATATTACAGAGGATACTACAGAGAGCTGTTGGCTTAACTGGTGTTTCCTGAGGACAATTCAGCTGAGTTATAAAATGAGATTTAAGGACAGAGGAGTTTATTTAAATAAAGAGATACAGAGAGTTCACTGAAGAGATGTACAGCTAAAAACGGAGACCACAAGATTATTTGAATACGTTGGAAGACTTGGGGAGGGGCGGTGCCACAGGAGCCTCCTAGAAGCTTTCTCGCTGAAATCCTGAAAGGAATTGAACCAAAATACTGTTTTAACAGAACTGATTCAAGATAACATTCTGATATATTAAACCCTCAGCTTCTAAGGTTGTAGATATTTATTTCCTAAACAATTCTTGAGAAGTCAATAACAATGTACTAGAAAAAGGTACTCTTCTAAAATAAAGGTATTTGTTATTTGCCTCACCTGTCAGGTTCGGTCAGCACGGGGCCTCGGGGAAGCTCGCAGCCAGACCACGCGAACTCCACCGGCGGTAGCTAGCGAGGAAAAGAGGAACGGAAAGCGCCGCT